GTGAGTGTGACGTCACCAAAAAATGAATATTTTCTATTATAACCAAATATTAATAACTACAAAGTTTATGGGCGTAAATTCTCTTAATACGAATGAAGGGTTGCACAATCTCCTTGCCATACAAATTACAGCTCCCACTGACGTCTCAGTCGAGAAATACGGGTAGCTGAAGTTTTTCTCGCAAATCTGACTACGAAACCATATCCAAATTTCATGTTCCACTTTTGACCGAGTTGTGCTTCGCAATCGCGGTGTTCCGGGAACCCTGCGTCTAGGAGTGCATATGCAAACTATAGAGGGCAGCAAACATATAGACAACATGATATATCTGCAGAATGCTATGGAAAACTAGTTCCACTTCACTAATAACTATTATGATAAAAGTTAATCACATGGTACGGACACATTAACTAGGAAACAGCGTCCTTAACAGAAAGTGTTCAAGCTGAGTAGAAAGGATTATCGGAAATCCACTCCTACGCAGAATTATCACCACTCATTGCTTTAACATTTCAACGGTCAAATCAAGAAGATGCTCACACAATATTATGAAACAAAACAAAAGTATTAATACATAGTGTTTTATTATTGGAGATAAGAATGATTTTGCATTTTAGATGTAATTTTACATATAGTAATCACTTTATAGAAAAAAATGCAGCATTATAACTTGATTTTTTTCATGGATCTTCAATTTAGATTAAAAAAATCTCCTTTTAAGGATAATAAGTTATAAACTGTATGAACATCATCATCGATCAAGTAATCAATCAATCAGTCATCATCATAATCCTCATCATCAATTATCATGATTATTGTCACATTATTCTGATAATCATCATACTTTGATCCTGAAGTATCATGATCATTGTCATCTTCATGATTATTGCCATTATCATCATCATATACTAAATAAAATAAGTAGTTACTACAGTAACAACATACTGGTATCACAGAATGTATTAATATTTTATTTTAAATGTGTACCAAAGTAAATTCCTTTTATTTTTTGACATTTACTAAATATTTTTGTTAATTATAAAGCATAGCTAAAATGAAATGCATTAATTTATAACAAAATGGCTATTTAAAAAAAAAATGTCAGACACATTTGTATGATCTAAATAATAAGCTTTGTCTAGACTGTAATGATATTAATTATAAAAAGATATTTTGGTGTCTTTTGTCTCAGCTTCATTACAGTTCTGTAGTCCCATGAGTTTGAAGTGTGACTTAGCTCAGAGCAGGAGATCAAGTGTAATTTGTAACTAAAGGTGGATTCATGTGGCATGGTGGTAAGGCTTGGGCTTTCAAATGAAAGGTCAAGGTTTAAAAGTTTAGGGTCACTTTATTGGTGTGCATTAGGGAGCTTTCGACTGCACGACGACGGTAGGACGTAGAACATAATGACGTCACTAAAAGTCATCTGCGCATGCGAGAACATTAAGGTCACCTTGTTGAGTAGATTCTGCAACGCAATTTGGCCAAATCTACGTATACAAAGAACGTAGGACGCCAGGTAGGACGGTCACGCATGAGTGATTCCGTTCTTGCGTAGTCGTCGGATTTCCGATAATCCTTTCTACTCAGCTTGAACACTTTCTGTTAAAAACGCTGTTTCCTAGTTAATGTGTCCGTACCATGTGATTAACTTTTAACCAGGTAGGACGGTCACGCATTAGTGATTCCGTTCTTGCGTAGCGTCGTCGCACAAGTCGAAAGTTCCCTATTAGCCAAGGTGAATGACGTATGTACCTAGAAAGGTTTCTATGGTTTATTGTCTGCAAAATCAGCTCAAACAGCAGAAGGGGTGCTTCTACGGCAGGCTTAACGTTCTGAGAGCTTTTGCTATGTAAGCAATTAAGTTTGCTAGGTAAATGTCTATGCCCTAGACTTTGTGATACAAGTGCAAAAATAATAAATTATACCCCACACTTTCAAGCAATCAGAAGCCTGAGGATATGTAAGTTATATTTGGAAGTTGTAGGATTTTCTCTAATAAGATTTTCTCTATAAATAATAATTACAGCACACTTAGAGAGTGTATACCTCCAGCCACATCATAATTATCCCTGTATAAAATTCTAACGCATCATTTCCTTTAAAAAAGAAATAATGAAAACAAAATCTCTACTGTCACCAGAATTCGAACCCGGGACATGTTAAAAAAAAGCAAGTCAGTGAAAATCAGAATTAAAATGTTACATATCATTAGCCAGTGAAAACCTTAAGAAATGGGAAGGGGATAGGGTGGAAGAAAATAGAGAAGGTAGGAATGAACTCATATCATAATATCTTACATGATGCATAATAATTTTAACATTTTCTAACCTTCTTTCTTTATATTTCTGAAGGACTTGTAGGAATTTTGATTGGATATCTGAATCTTCCGGAAATACTTCTGACATCTTATTGATGTATACCCTTGTCTTCTCAGTTGTTCTTTCTTTTGGTTGCGCTTTCACAACAGCAACAGGCGTTTTGGATCCAGCCTTTGTAGAAAGAAGAGAAAAAGACGAACACGATGATATTGTGGTGTCAACTTGGCTGTGCAAGCTTGTTCAGGCAGCAGTGGCATATCTAGAAGTCTTGAATTTGGGGGGCTGATGGTTGGACGCGAAGGTGAAGGGTGGGCTCGATGATCAGTTGAGAGGCGCTAATTCCAAAAATATGGTGATTTTAGGTGATTTTTAAATACTTGACCGTGGTTTTTTTTTGGGGGGGGAGGGCGACTTGGGGCTGCGAGTAATTTTTTTGGGATGGAATGCACCCCCCGCGATATGCCACTGAATTTATGTCAGCATAAGTGGAGTGGAGTTGAATAGCTTGGTGGTTAAGATGCTTGCTTTCCAATCCTATGGTCATGAGATCAATTCCTGTTTATACGGAAACAAGATTTTTTTCTCACAACCAAAAAAAACTCCACCCCGTAAGCTTCATAATGAGCCTCATAATGAGTCTATGAAAAGCATCTTGTGTGCATGTTTGTCTTGTGATGGGATTGTCACTTCAAAGAGTGATTAAGTTCAATGTTTGGCATATCCTTGGCCCTAGTGCCTAAAGCTGAATTTAAAAAAAACATAAGCGAACTAGAATTACTCATTTTAAGCTATGCAGTAAAAGCATAGCCTCCAAGCAATGTAACTTCCCCATAAAATATTCACTACTGACGTTGGCAAAAAAAAGCATAAAAAAATAGAAGATTTCACCTAGAGTTGTAAGCTCTCAAACACTAGCTCCATTCGTCTGCCCTAGAAAAGCCTAACATCTACATAAGGAATAATATGTCTCAGATTTATGTAAAAATCAAACATAGATTGGCATTTAAACAAGGAACCACATCAAAATTGGACTGGAATGGATTTAGGAATAAAATATTTTGATTCCAAAATGGGGTGTACTGTAGGAAACTACAATACTAACCTTTCGCTCAAGTGTTGAGGGTTTTTTTGGTGTCTCTTCTGCCGCAATCTCTGTTGGCGAGTCAATTTGAATTGTGACAGGGCCATCGTTTTGTATATGAACTTGCATGTAAGCTCCAAACTTGCCATCTTAAATATAAACACAAACAACAGATATGTTACAGTATCAACTGAGAAATGAATGAACCATATTTTAAAGTTGACAATCTTGCTGGATAGAAAAATTATATTTTGATATTCATTATTATCAGTTGCTTTAATTATAATATCATTAAATATAACTATTTCAATGTTAAAAAGCCACAATCACAGTAACACAATTTCATAATGCATTTTAAATGTGCCCCTTTCTAAATATATTTACTAGCATTTCAAAGTTCAATTAGTTATTTTCATTAATTATATTTTCAGTGGTAATAAAGATACTACTGTATTAATATTATTATTATAAGATTCAATGTTATTAGGAAGAGAATGGAGTATACACAGAAGAAAGCAGAGTGCATACCTTTGATCATTGCTGGTTTATAATCTTTTTGGAGAAGTTGAAGAAATTCTTCGTAAAATAGCCTAGACTTTTCTCCTGGCATAGCACAATGGAAGTCGGGTTTGTTGCCCTTTAAAATTGCATACAAAGTAAACTGGAAGAAAGAGAAAAAAGTACCATTACTGAAAGACCATTATAATAGAATTTGGGTGGCTTAAAAGCTCTCTGTGCCTGAGTGTCGTCAGCTGACACTATTTGATGTAGAATGCAATGCGAAAACGCGTATGCAACAGATTACTTTATTGATGATGTGTTCAGACTGCCACAAACAAGTTTGGATTGATTCGTCTGGCGACTGCAGCACACGTATGACGCAGTGTGTGTTCGGCATTCAAGCAAAGGGCGGCGCCAGCATTTCCCTGACATAGGTGGTCCATCGTTCTCTGACAGATGGGCCACACCCACATCAGCTCAACCATGGTTGGGGCTGATAGGCAAATATAAGGTTATATCACCTCTAGATGCCTGAAAATGACATATTAGTCATATTAGACAGATTAGTCTGGTTTACACGGCCGTTTCCTATCAGATAGATAACACCGATTTAAAAATGTATGTAACTGATAAAAACATAATTTTTCAGATAATAATAATAGTCTTCACGCTGTTTATCAACAGTGACCTCACACAGTTCAAACAACAGCTAATTTGCATAAAGATCATGCTGATGATCTATGTTAACACCGCTGCAATCAGGAGTAACTGCATAGATCATCACGGTTACTGATCCATTATGCAGAGTTACTAACTCCGTTTACACGGCCGTTTAACACCTATTGTATATCAGCGAATAAACGTGATCATCACGGTGATCTCCTGCCGTGTAAACAAGGCTATTATCTCTGGCTTAGAAAATACTTCTATTATCTATTACATTTTCCCTGACAGATTTTACCATGACTTTCCGACAGCTGGACAGGCGTCTCAAATGGCTGGGACTGGGCCCACCTGGTCCATACGCTAGCACCATTCCTGCTTTAAAGTTTGTTGGAAATGCTTGAATATTTGAATGCTGTACATCTGAATTAGCTAGTGTAGTAGACTTTGAAATATATTTCAGTTTCAGATTTTCATCCAGGAAAATTTGGCTTAAAACAAAATTAATATTTTATTACAAGATTGCTTAGTTTAAATATTTTACTGCTAGTAGTAAACCCAAAGTAATAACCGGATTATCTGATTTATTAACATATTTTTAAATTGAATCTCCTAAGTTCTCTATAATGTATCATCTTTGCATTTTTTCCCCTAGGGTTAAGTGAACTCTGATCACAAATCATTTGATTTTATTGTCATAGAAAAAAATTGCATAATTTAATCATTAGAGTGGTGAGGCTTTTGAGCAATTCTAAAGTTTGAATTATTTCAATGTAAAATTTCATGAAACATTCAAAATGCTTCAAATGGGTGCTCAGAACATGGTAAAAAACTTAATTAAATCATGTATTACTGACAAAATATACAATGTACAAAAATATAAAATACAATGCAAATTTTATTTTAATGATTAACTTTGCATATTTTATGAATATTCTTTTTTAATTTTAAATTATATCATTTCTTATTTACATTTTTTTTTTAAGAATATAAAAATGTGGAGATGCGTTATTGACTTTTTTTCTGTATGTCAATGTCATGACAATTTTACTGTTGTGGAAAATTGTAAATTTATATGTATATATAAATATTCAAATTAGGTGTGCTGTGTAGCACCCTAAACAAAATATGAACATATAGATAAATAGTAACAGTGCTCGAATAGGAACATGATGTTATGGTATGAAGCAGCTATGCTTGAGACAATTATAATATCTATTTGAGCACTATTACTGTATTTACTTATCTATTTTTATTTATACTTTACACATTGATTTTTTTCCACACAAATGATTAGGAACATAAAAGTGATATATTTGAGCAGTTTTTCTATTAACTTATATATTTTCGGATATGCAGCATACTATGAATTACTGTGTACATATTGAGAAAATTGCCAGCACATGATTTGTGCCCCCACCCAATTGATAGAGTCCAAATAATGAACGTCCACCTCGCACATATTGAATTTCTTATTTTTATTGTCATTATCAACCTATTGTACTTACCTGACTAACACATAAAATTTCAAACTGCTTGTCTTTAACACTCTTGCTCCATCTTTTACCAGCATCATCATCAAATACACGGAGATTTAAAACTTTTCTGGCACTGTCCATAAAATGAATAATTAATAATATATACAAAAGCAGTAAATTAAAAAAAACCGTACCTAGCATTGGAGTTTTCAAAATGTTTATATCTTCATACATTCAAATTCATCCATATATTCAGGGGCCCTCTTGAATAAATGAAATAACGTGATACTTTTAACACGTCATCGTTGTTTGTAGTCGTGAGAAAAAGTCCTGCTATCGCAGGAATTGAGCCTAGGACACTGAGATTAGTAGGTGGCAAGCATCTTAAACACAAAGCTATTTGACTCCACATTCTCATTGCCTCGAACATAGATTGATTTAAGCGGGTAAAATATTTACAGGTTGTGTTTTTCTATTGAAAGTTTCCTAGATCCTTGTATTTATAAAATAAAGCTCTGTACACACTGCGAGCTGTCCATCAATACATCATCTATGATTTGCATATTACATAGAAAATGACTTCAAAAAATTACATTACTTTTCAATCCAAAATTTACAAATTTTGCATTAAATTTTTGTTTAGACTTTGTTTTGTGTGTTGTTTATCTTCTTTTCTATTTTGATGGAAGTGTACCACATTGAAAATCAGTACTCAAGTACTGAAAGTGCCTGCAGTATTAAAGAAAGAATAAATAAATTAAAAATATACTATTAATAATGTACATGGCTATATATGGGCAAATCACAGATATTTGTCCCATAAATTTGTTTAAAATATTCAAATGTAATTTTGTTTTATTATTATTTTTAATGTTATTATTAATAGCTCAAAACAGAAGGTATTTTTAATGTTGTAGAAACTGTAAAATAAATACTGAACAGATGTTTATGCAAATTGAAGAAAATATTTGGAAATAATATAATAATATATTATTCTGATGAAGGGCTTCAACAGCTACTAGTAAGTAGCTTGTAATATAACACTCACATATATTCTCTTTCTTTTGGCGTATCATCCTTTGTAATTCCCACTAGAACACACAATCCACGCCCGATTGAGCTCACAAGCTCATCACCAACTAGAAGAAGGAAATTAAAGAATGAAAATGTAAATTGAATGGCAGAGTTTGTTAAGGGGAAAATTTGTGAGGGGGTGAGTTTGTATAGGGTCAGTTTGCAGAAACAACTCTGAAAGGGTGAGCATTTGTGAAGGATTACTTTGTATTAAAGGGGTGAATTTGCTAGAGGGTTGACTGCTGTATTCTAATAGCATGAAGTACAGTATTTTACAATGTGTTGGGAGCTATGGGAAGGCGATCAGAAATCGAAGGGTACTAGTTTGTTTGAGGTGAATTTTAACTATTTTAATTATCTTTCAGTGGGGCGGGTCTAGGGGTGTGGTTCAGGTGAAACTTTTGTTAGGCAACTGTGCTTCCCACTTTACTTCTAGATACAGTTCAGGTGAAACTTTTGTTAGGCAACTGTGCTTCCAACTTTACTTCTAGATACAGTATGCCCCCATCCCAACTTTTATTTATTTCTCTAAAAAAACAGGCAAAATACAAAATACAAGAAGACAACAGCATAATCAGAAACAACAAGAGAGAGAAAAACCAAAAAGTCAACTATCATGGTTTAATTTCCAAGAACAAATTAAAAAATATAACATATATCAACAATAAACATTAATAAAGTACATTTGTCAAATAAATATTTGTCAAAATAAAAAATTTGTAAAAAAAATCAATCATTGAAAAATCAAATAATTTAATACTTTTTAAAAATGCATGTATTTAGTTTAGGCCTAGTTAATTAAGTAAAATCAAATTTGAAATGATAAAACTAGGCATAAACATAATATAACATGCAAAATGAAGCTTGTTGAGTGATCAGCAGAATGAGTTTAAAAAATTCAACCAAAAAAAGGTAGGTTGCTCAATTGATTTGCTTCCTCGAACCTGACCTGGCCCTCAAAATCAAAGCAACCCAGCAGTGTATATGGGTGATAGAAAGCTGTGCTATATGTGCCTATAGGACTATGCCTAGGCCCAGCTAGGTTAGGCTAGGCTACATCCAATGATGCCATGGTAAGAAGAGATGTGAATGGCACTACAGAGGGTTGGGCCCTGAAAAAAAAATCAAAGCATGGTTATCAGGCTTAGCCTAGCCTAGGCCGTAGGCAAAGAAACGTAAACACTGGGCAAGGTCCATTTATTATTTAAATTTTCATCCATTCATACTATAGCCGAATGAAATTTACCTGACACACTGGCTTTTGTGACACGTTGGATTACTACCTTCATCTTCGTTAATTTGAGAAGTAGGCTAGACCGGAGCCTAGAGGAGGAGACACTAAAACAACACGTTGATTTGCCAGGTATAAAAATCGTGCCGAATCCATAATAATGGATCTTGCGGTCCAAAGGATGTTTAGCTTTTACCACAATTCAGCTTTTCTCCGAAATGCGCATGCGTTTATCTTATTCCTATGGAAACACGAGAAGCTTTCGTCTTTAGCAAGTAAGTTTATAAAACTAATTTAATTCGCTGTAGTTGTGTACTGAATCACATATAATTAAATATAATTATTATTCTCACTACTACTATTCTATTTGTCGTTGAACAACGTTTATCCTGTTCAAAGCAGGCCACCCCTAAAATGGCCTAGGCCTAGCCTAGAGAGGCTATCCTAGCTAGGCTACCTGGAGGGCGACTGGGGCCTGCTTTGTTGGCTTGTGGTAGGTAGGGGGCCTAGATTGGAAATGGCACTAGCCTACCTAGGCCTAGCCCTAGGGGCCTAGGCACCTAGGCCTAGATAGAGGGCTAGTTCTAGGCCTAGATTCATTCAAGATTAAATGTATGTTAGGTCATTAAAATCTGCTACAACATTTGCAAATCTATCTATCTAGGGCCTAGGCTATATAGTAGGTATGTTAGAAGAGTGACGTCACGGACTGTTATCGTTGTCGCGACGCCGATGCTGATTGTTTTGGTTTTGCATCTTGCATCCAGATTAGAAAAAATCGTATTAAATCGTTTATTGGTTGCATTCACTAACCTTGGACCTTATTTACTTACTTGCGCTATTTAAAAATATTTTTTTCATTGATCGGTCACGGAGTTACAGTGTACCGAACTTTTTCTTTTTTGAAATAAAGCATCATTTACACATATTTTGTAAGCTCTGTAAATTTTAAAAACTTTTTAAGAAAAAAAAAAATTTTAAGAATTATATATTTAATATATATGCCAAGTATGAATTAGATCTGATGCTACTCAACAATTTTTTTGATTTTCTCAAATCTTACGACTCTCGAGTCCGATGCATAAAAATGTCCGCTGATCTATACACATCTTTCAAACGGCATAATGGTTATTAAATTTACACATAAAGTCTGTATTACTGATGAATATGTCCAATATAATCATTGCTTAGTATTATATAATAGAATATTTTTAAAGATTTTGATTTATTATAATGATATTTTGCGATTAATATACCCGTGTATAAGAGGCCTGTGTATAATTGAGAATTACCGTCACGAAATTGCATATGGCGTCTTATTTGGCTATTCTGGCCTGTAAT